GGGTGAGTGTGACACATTCATATGTTTGTTGGCAAGTTTCTCGCAAAATGCATTGAGCCAGCTTTTTCGTTAAACACGCTTGATGAAATCGCGCCAAGCTGGATTTTTTTATTGGCTTGCACGGTTTGTGTTTCAGACACGACAGGAAACCAAAAAAATAAAATTATTATCCTGATTAGATCACTCACATTCGTTGCGACAACCCGCATATGTGGGACGACTTTTGCGAATGCCTTCGCTAAGTTTTCCCTACATTCGTGCTTTTCCAAGCTATGTCGGTTTTTTAGCGCACATCAAATACGCAAATTGCTTAGTCTCCCACACATCAGGGGCGTGCCCATGGCTTCAGAATAGGGTAAGCCCAAAGCTTCCAAATATACTATAGCTATCTTACTTTATTGACTTGGCGTGCTTAAAAAAATTACGATTTGTATAAGATTTTTAATTTTATTTTGTGTTCTATTACAATGATATTAAAATTCAATTAATCAGTAGTTGACAATTATCTAGAAAGAGAGGCAAGGATTTTATTTAAGTGTATGAGTTAACATTACGTATACGATTATACCTATATACGTTGGTGTCGATTCTGGCATGATTCTCTAAACTGTATAAAGAATGAGAAGGATACACTATTGTCAAATTTAATTTTAGGTTTAGAGAATCATGCCAGAATCCACACCAGTTTAGTATATTTCTTGGGGTTCAAGATTTTTTTATTACATCTATAAGCTCTTGCGATTTCAAAGCAATAGTTATTTCGATATTATTCAATTTAGATAGTCATAGCAGGTAAATTAATTGATATTATTGTGTTCAAATTTAGTCTACGAAATATCGATATTTTGGAATTTCCGATATCGATATTATCGATATCAGTGAATTTTAAATATCGATATAAATATCGATATTTTGGTCTCGATATTATCGATATTCCGATATATCGTTGCAACCCTATTTATACAGTATTGTGACTCCGCTCTGTCCTTGAAAATAAATGCCTACGGCCGAGCGCTGCGTTGGCACGCGGTAGGGCCTCCAGCCTACAGTATTTTATGTAGTTTTGTTTTTAACGTGAGTGTAGTTAGATTACTCGTTTGTCTCTTTTTTCATCCTAACCACTTATTTAAATAGTATTCCAGATATTTTGCCCGATGGAAAAACCGAAATACCTAAATATTAGAAACAAATAACGTACTAGTAGATAGGTATATAAAAAATATTCTATAAAGGTAAGACACCTTTCCAATATTTCAGGTAATTTAAAAAATGATATCTCTGGGTGTGTTATTGAAGAGTTCAAGCAACCAAAAACAGCAATTGTGCTGTTGTACGATATTGATCGTCGTTTGTTCTTTTCCATACTAAATTATGTAGGTATCTACTTAATTAAATTAAATATTTACAATACAAAACGCACGTTTAAGCACGGCTAACTGCATAAAAAACAATTCAGACCGTTCGGTCGTCGTTGCGGCGCGGCGGCGCAGCGCATTCGCGACTGGGTGCCCGCCGAGAGCACATCGAACTCGAGTGGCGTAGGTATGACTCGCTTTCCGACCGTTTGTATGAAGATAGAATACTGTATGATATTATAACCGTGCCGCTGTGGTTATGATTCCATGCCTACCTGTCAAAATTCCATAATAATTTGACAATTCAGCGTTTGGTTCTATGTTGGTGCTCATGCTGGGGAGGCAGGGTACTTTATAGAGCTGCCGGGCTTGAGCCGCCTATTATTACCATAGAACAATAAATTAATAGTTTTAATGCAACTGTTGTATAATGAGGGGTAGTAAAACACGAATGCGGGTTTATCACACGAGGCGCAGCCGAAAGAACAGTTGCATATAAAACTTTATCTACACCCATGTTGTGAATCCTCTTTAAAAGATTCTGGAACCATAGGGCGTTCTAAGATCTTAAAATTCATCAAAAGTTTCGGTGCTGTGGTAATGAAACACGCACAATGATAATGTTCTTTTTGTTTCTTAGGTTTTCATGCACAACACTCATTAAATAAAATTAGTTTTAACGGGTTAATGCACGAAACTTTATTGAAGTTATACTTCTTTAGCCGCGTTATGAAAAAATTATGAGAGTGAAATTTTAAGATGCGCGCGCAACACTATGAAGTCGGCCGCTAAACCGCACATTACTCGTAAGTCTCGAAAAAAAGCTTCCAACAAAATAGTAATAGGATCTCTTAGTCGCACATGTTGGGACGCTCGTCGCCTCTGATCACTGTTTTCATATTTATAATATTTATCCACATGTTTCTAGTTTCTATATTCTTAACACGTGTTATAATGTTATACAAATGCGAAATTTATATGTGCTAATAAATTTTATTCAGTAGTGATTTAAATTGAATATTTTGATTGTTTATTAAATTTTTCAAATTAAAACTGAACTTTATTGACTGCGTTGACTATCCTTTTCCAATCCTTTTACTATCTTATTGTAATTAATTATCTGCATGCAATTAAAAACTATTTTTTAATAATTCCAAAAAGAAGTATAACTTCTCACGCGCGTACTTAAGTACACGCACCCATATTTTTTTAATGACGTTTCGCAGCCTTTTCAGGTCTGCATTCTGACGATGCTGAGACCTGAAAAGGCTGGTTGCTGCTGCGTAAAGTTTCGTGCATTAAGCATTTAACTGCTAGATGTTTAAATCTAAAGAAAAGTTTACTTGCAGCTTAAGGCTAGGAAAATTTCGACGCGGCTAATAGGGCCGTGGTAGCATAATGGTCAGTGCATTCGCCCGGATAGCGAAGGATGCGGGTTCGAGTCCCGTCCGCTGCCTGGTCAGCGTGGATTTTTTTCTAGTAAACTTTTCTTTAGATTTAAACATCTAGCAGTTAAATGCTTAACCCGTTAAAACTAGTTTTAGATAATGTCCTTTTTTGGAATTCATAATACCACGCATCCAGTAGGGAATATTGTGGCTGTCTGATGCGCAAGCCCTTGGCGTGGGAGTGATTTAGAAAGCGAAAGCATGTTATTATGAAATTTATAAAACAACCATGGGACATTGACAGGCCCCGTAACACGAGCACTACAATTTACATTATATCACGTTTTTATCGCGTCTTACTGTCAAACTCCATTGCAATTTGACAATTGAGCGTGATAAATACGCGTTATACTTATATCATATCGCGGTGCTCATTCTAGGGGGGCTGAGGTGTTTTTGAAAATTTTGCGCCCCAGGCCCAAGCAACTTACGATTTGCACCCTAAACTCCGCTAGAATTAGTAAATCAAATCAAAATATAGTGTCGGTTACGAATGCTCATATGTGGCTTTGCAGCTCTTCGCCTTCGTAGCTCTGGCAGCCGCTACTAGAAGTTAGAAGCCTACGACCCCGGGCCATGGCCCTCGCTAGTTTAAAAACGGCCCTGACATTATTATATACTAAAATATTAGAGTAGGTATATATTACCTACGTAATGCTACACGTCCACTTTCATAGTTTCCGTAGAGAGCTGATACTTCATTAGAATATATAAGGCTATAGCAACCAAAACACAAAATTAGCAATTAAGAAACAGTAAGATGGTACCTATTTTTTTATTTAAATGAAGTGCCATCTAGTGTCATTTTACATAACCTCAAAGTCACGTTACCGGTGTGAGAATGATTTCGCTACTGGTCAATAGATGTCGCTTTTCACAGTGCCAAGATACATTTTGTGTGATAATAACTTAGATTAAAACAAAAAGGATAATAATTATTAGATAGGCATACCGTCTAATTATTTCATAATTTGCTTTATATTCATTAATAATAATCTTTTGAATAAACTGTCCGAATATTTTTGGCCCCAAAAGAGATACGGCAGAAATATTATATTTATAGCAAATTGCAGGATAATGTAAACACTAGCGGCCCGCCCTCGACTATAGTTTTTTTCTCAGGCTTCTATTATACACAATTAATTTCTTTTTAAATTATAAACCTTCCATGAACATTTATTTAACTGATAGTGAAAAATTTGTTGCGTAAATGAGGACCCGTTGTATCTCAGATTAAAAACAACAAAAACGAGCAACCCTAACAGTTGTCGCGTATGATATGTAACATTTGAAACTTCACCTTATATTAGTAAAAAAAGAAATAAAACCTACTACAAAAGGAATAAGCCATTTGAACATTATGTTCTATAATCAAATCAAATAGCGCGCGTTTTCGCGACTTCCTGTTACACAATTCCGTCCCATTTCACGAAATCACTCCCACAAATTGCAGGAAAGCGAGAGGAAAGATGCTACACATCAAAAACTCTTTTTAAAAACGAAATTGTACTTTCAGCATTCTTCTAAGATCTGAATTGCATAAATTAACTTTCAACACAAAAGAGCTCTTACATTTTTTATCTGCTGCATAATTTCTCATTGTTATCTTTTTAATAGGGAACTGATTGTTCCCACGTAATAAATGCAACTGCTGCTAAAATGCAAATAATTTTCTCTATACTGGACCTATAACCTTTGCTGCACTTTCAAAAGAAATCAATATTTAGCACTGACGTACCAACTTGTTTGATCGTTCAAAATTGCCGCGTGTGACGTAAACCGAGACCTCTGACGTCATCAGCATAGTCGCTTGACGGAGTCATAACTAGCCATCTCTGTTTTACGCTCTAATAATGAATGAGCGCGAGCAAGACCACGATATACGTGTGATGGTTGTGAATCGAGCACTTTTTTCGTGGCCGAGTGCCGAACAACTGAACTCTTTACGCATTGATAACAAAACTAGTGATAAGGGTATAATAACAGATACCTTGCTTGTATCAATAATCAAGATAACGTAAATTAAATTCAGGTTGATAAACTTTCTGTGGTTAAAAGTTCAGATGTGGCAATTCGATATTTAATTTAATGGGTTTTGTTAATGAAACATCGGGGCATACACATGATCGCCCCCTTCGAGTGACGTGAGCGCTAGTGGCGCTGTTGCGGCAGCCACGCCAAACTAACGACAGTAGACAAAAAATTCTCACAGAGAAGTAGTGATATCGGGAATGATCCCAGTTTTCCATGAAAATGGATAGTGAAATAAAACCAATGCACAAAAGTAAACACTTCCCTATAGACCAGTTAGTGTGTGTCGGCAATTATGAATTGGAAAAGACTATTGGGACTGGCAATTTTGCGGTCGTAAAACTAGCTACACATGTTATAACGAAAACTAAGGTGCGTACATGTATAGCACCAATCCTGGTGTATTTGAGTGGTTTTAGTGCTGTATGTGTGTGTTTTTTTATTTGTTATTGGTGTCTGGTCGTTTGTGAAACGTCCGCGGTGTATGTGCTCGCCCATGGGAAAGTTCTCCTTCGGTTTTTTCCATGCAGCCTCGAAATCATCCGTCAGATTGTCAAAGAGTTGATACTAAAGAACTCGTTTTCGTCTGATGTACGGGGGCGCAAACGTGTTTTGTAAAAAAATAACATTAATACAACCAGTTTTGGGCGCACATTGTTTACTATGCAGCCGAGACGGTGTTATGGTGCTTCCGCATTCAGTCGGCTTATAACTCGAGTTTTCTCAAAGCCAGTGAAATTTCGTACAAAACAGTTTTTTATCTCTCAGTTTTTTCTTTGCTAATTGATAGGGATTGTTAAGTACGCACTCGTTGCGACCTACAAAACGTTTTTGCTACAATTATTCTCAATTGACAGTTCTTCATTCAATGTCCTCAGCTTCAATTAAGATACAAGATATCTTATTGGATAGTTTGGTGTTACATTATTTATCTTGGTTATCTACACGACAATGTTGTTTCATGAACAGTTGGAATTGGTCTTTATTTGTACAGCCATAAGACTGTATGCTACATTGTTGATTAGGTAATTTTTTCCTATAAAGTATCCCATTGTTAGTGAAATAAACTGCAAATAAACATAACCTTTATATTTATCAGTATAATGATGGTATTAATTACTTATTGTTCCTTTAATATTGTCGGAAAAAATAGTTTATTTATAATGTCTCGAAATTCAAAACAAAACTTTTTTTTAAATATTAATTGGCACTGAGTACAATTATTGTTTTCTGCCAGCGCACAGGTCTATTTTACTTAAATATTATCCTCAAATAAAAAATGGGATTTGGAATGATATAAATACTGGCAAAGCATGAATTTTACTGGCACACAAAGGGTTCCTAATTATTGTACAAGATTTTATTATACTCTTTATTGCATCATACAGTTTAAAACATATAGTCAAATACATAGTAAGCAAAGGGTGGTTTTACACTAGGTTGAACAGAAAAATTGCTAAGAAATATTATTTTTTGACATTGTAGTGCCAATAACGCACACCTGTGGAAATTTTAACTTTTTAGCTAGGATTTGATTGAATTTACTATATATACACTGCACTTAGGTTGCGCTGTATATATATTAATATTATAATAAAATTAATATTACATACCTCAATATAACGACTTCCTTGATTTAACAAATTCTTCGTCATCCCCTTGAGTGTTCCATAAGACTCAATGTAAAATATACCTTTACATTGCAAACAACCTCTTTAAAAAATTTTCAACTATCAAAAAAAGTGTAAATAACCTCTAATTAACGAATTTTGTCAACCAAAAACCTCTATATAACGTTTCCATCAATATATGGCCCTTGATCCCATAGTACATGATTGATGCCACTCCAGGAAACTATTTTTTACCTCTTTATAACAAATTTAAGACCAACCTAACCTCAATATAACAAACCTCAGTTTAAAGAATTACTCGATTTAACAAATATTTACTTGTTCCCTTCCGATTTGTTATATCGAGGTTGCACTGTATATGTATTTTTTTTCTTAGTATTGACCATAGACAACGATGTTTGTGTAGAAGCAATTTAACTTCTACTGCGCATGTTTATTTTTGCTGTGGTATTGCTTAAGAAGTTAGTCGCTACCTGAACAATTGATGTATGTATGTATGAGGTCTAGTAGTCTAGGTTAGTAAGTCAACAAACAAATAAGCTTCATTTTGATAAAGTAATATTTTAGTAAGAAAATAGTTGTCTAAAGAAATTATTACTAGAAAAAATTCCACACAGTCCAGGCTTCTGACGAGATTTAAACTGAAACCTTCTCCAACCTTCTGCTACGGAGACCTTAATCGAACCCGCACCTTCAGCGTTTGAATCCTAGCCAACTCTTATTTTGCGATTGAGGGATGCCTTCAGTCCCGGCATTTTGGTGCAGACCATATATATATTTATTTGCGTTAGAATAGTACCCCTACACTGGAGATGTTACAAATACAAAGTTCGGCCCATTCTGCCATTTACAATAGCATGCAAATATTTAACAATGCATTAATTACATTAATATTATTAATCTACATTAAGCCATAAATTTTACATAGCAATAATAAATTCCTAAAATACAACAAAAAGCGAATTAAAATAAATGATCATCAGCAACATTAAAACTGTCTGCTTAGTCTTAATTTATATCAATCGAAATTATTGAAATAGCTAACAAAATGACAATAGTCAATTAATAATGTTCATTATAGAATAAAATGTCAATCAAGTGCAGAATACAAATCATAAAACCATACTGTCACTAGCTACAATCATTACATACATATTCTGTTACACTGTAAAACATCCTATCATAAAGCCACTACGTTTAAGTACAAGGCAGTCTTAAATTTCTTAAAAGGCATTTGTTTTATATAAGTTGGCAACTTATTGTAAATTTGGATACATATCCAATTTTTTTATTTTATATAGTAGTGAGGAGGAGGATGAACCAACGGTCCCTCCTGCTTGAGGATGGGAGGAGAATCTCTTGTTTGGTATCAGGTTTATTCCCAGAGAAACTCTGGGAGGAGTATTCAAGGCCAAGGGTGGTGTTTGTCTGTTATCTGTCGCGCGGGACACCACGCAACGAAGTGGCAGCATCTGCTAGCCGGCTCTAGTACGCGACCTTTGGTCCTGGGGACGCAGAATGAGCCGAGCTTTAGTACACGGCCTTTGCCCCTGGGTCGTGGCACGAGCCGGTTGCATAAACACACATGAAGCCGTAAATACTCGTTGCATGATATCGCTTTGGAGTGAGCCTCCATAAGGTCAAGAGGGGAGGATCTTTTCAGGGGCGATGATGGTGCTAAGCCCTTTTTAGCGCTCAGCGAGGTAAAACGGTCAACCGTTGGAGGTGGACGCTCAACAGCCCTTTTTAGGGACAAGAGGGGGCCTCATAGGGACGGAGAGAACCACGCTACGCTACGGGAATTTGTCACAAGTGTCAGACTTGCATTGTTGACCCTGATACTCACGGGGCTTCGCAAGTTTGGGTGGGCCCGGCAACGGACGTGCCGAGGACCAGTTAAGTGTTCCCACGGTTTCAACCCACACGTTTAGCACGCACTCCAGAAACTATGGTCCTTGAACTGAGTGTCGGGTGACCGGTAATAAATAATAATAAAACTCTTGGCGAGGGTGGCGCCATACCTGTTTCAGACAAAAAGGGACTAGTTGACGCGGTACAGGTTCTGAAGATTCTTTCAGAAAAGGCGATGGCCTCTTTATCTGAATGCATTACTGGAATAAGCAAATGCATTTTGAATGACCATCGTCTATAATTGTATTGTGAAAGCATTTCATCGCCAAGGGTTGCCTAAGTATGTGAGGAAGGTGGTGGAGCAATATTTGAAAGATAGTACATTACCATTACGGTACACGGCGCATAGTGTGTGGAGTTCCACAGGGCTTAGTTCTGGGAGGACCACTCGTATGAGGTCTGATTGGGTCCTTAGATTGACACTCCTAACAGGTGTCATATGCTACGCTGACGACACTAATTGTTGTTCGGGGCTAGACTTGCGAAGATATGCGACGAATGCGATTATCAAGTGCCTCACAGGCCTAGATTGAAGTAGACCCCGTATGTACTTCAAATTCTTTTGGATACTGAGCGTGTCAGATTTTGAGTACATAGTGCAAATCATCATCATGGTCAGCCTATAGATATCCCCACTGCTGGGGCAAAGGCCTTTCCAATGGATGGAATAGGGAATTTGTTCCATTACCCACCACACGGGCCCAGTGCAAATTGGCTGGTGCTATCTACTGCAGATGCAGCCGGGACCAACGGCTTAACGTGCCTTCCGAAGCACGGAGGAACTCGAGTTAGAAGATTTTTGGTCACCCATCCAATGACCGACCATATACGGAACGGTTGATCTGTACGATCCGTCGTTTCAGACCGATCGAAACGATGGATCGACAGTGTATGTCAAGATCGTTAACGATTTACTTAATCGAAGACGATATCGCAAATCGCAACCAAATTCCATGCAATCATGAATATCGTAAACGATCGATCGACAGTGTCCCATATACGGGACGATTGATCTGTACGATCCGTCGTTTCAGACCGATCGAAACGATGGATCGTCAGTGTATGTCAAGATCGTTAACGATTTACTTAATCGAAGACGATATCGCAAATCGCAACCAAATCCCATGCAATCATGAATATCGTAAACGATCGATCGACAGTGTTTCTTGTATGTAGTGGCATTTCTGAACGATCGATCGTTTACGATTTCCTTCAGATCGATCGCAACGACGAATCGTTCCGTATTTGGGGCCCTTTAACCACCCGCACCATCGAGCTTCACATTTACAACATTAGTAACTGAAAGTAACAACATGATCCATTAATTGAACCACACTGCTAGTCAGTGGCGGACTAACAGGGGGGCGGAAGGGGCGGTCCGCCCCGGGCCTCCAGTCTTGGGGGGCCCCAAATGCCTCCGCGTTCCCCTGATCAAATCCTAAACAAGACTAAAAATGTCCTTCGTACCTACATAAATTTATCAAGACCAAAACACTACAGCCATCTAGAAATTTTACGCGGTACTATTCTTTTAACTTTGCTAAACGCGTTCAATACGTTGGGGGCATTCCCGTCTTTGTAGCGGGTACTTCTTTAGGAATCCTTGAATGAATGAAGTGCAAATAATTCACTCTTGTACGCCTACATTTACATTCACTACATTATATTTACGTGGAAAAATAAACATTGCCCTCATTTTTAAATTTTTAAATTTTTAAATCTGGGGGGTGCTGGCGGGCCTCATTCATCTTTACCGCCCCGGGCCTCTGACGGGCTTAGTCCGCCACTGCTGCTAGTTGAACTAGTGTAGAAATAGATATTAATGTAGTT